CTAAATCCTCAAACCCTAAACCCCTGAACCCCTAAACCCATAATATTACCCAAATATGTACCCTGTTATACTTTAGTAGTTTCCATTTTCTTTTCCATTATCCCAATATAACCCCAATATCCCTAAATCCTCAAACCCTAAACCCTAAACCCCCAATTCACACTATAGGCCCCTGGTTCCTCTGCGCAAGGACTCCCCTCTGGTCTTCATCGAGCAGGCCGTGTGTGCAGAGTGCACCACGAAGGCCAGGAGTGAAGGGATATGGGGGTTATATTGGGATAATGGAAAAGAAAATGGAAACTACTGCAGTATAATAGGGTATATATTGGGGTAATATGGGTTTAGGGGTTTAGGATTTAAGGTCTAGGAGTTTAGGGTTTAGAGTTTAGGGGTTTCGGGCTTACTGTGCAGAATTTTGAGCTTCAGATTCAGGGTTAAGGGTTTGTTCTGAAGCAGGTTCCAGGGGTCAGGGGTAGATGTCAAATGCAGACGGTCCAACAAGGCCTGAGCGTCATGGACTCCGTGCAAGCACTGAAGGTTGTAGGAGCCAAAGGCCTCTCTGGACGATCTTCTATTTTCTATTATAATTCCCTAGGGCTGCAGTTACCTAAATAATGGGAGCTGGGTTCTATAGTCCCTATAGTTACATAGCCCAGTAACCTACTATTTAGGTAACTGGAGCCCTAGGGATTGAGAAGTCAAACGCCCGCGTCATGTTTTGGCATTCGGGCCAGTCGGGCTTCCGAGGGTTACTTTGACTTTGACTAATGCTCCTCCAATGTACTTGATGCGAAAGGGCTGTAGTCCTCTCCAAAAGAACCAGCAGCAGCTTAGGTGCAACTAGTGCGCGCCTCTGCATGGAAAACGCATGATAATCATCATCAGCGCCACCATCATCATTCCAAATGATGAATTGCTATGTGGGAGCTTGCCTGCAAATCCGTACCCAAGGGACCCTGCTTGCAGGGTCCCCAAGTTAGGGAACCAAGTTGGACAAGTTTGGGGTATAGTACAGTATATGATACCACTGTATACTATAGCATATGCTATCATATATTATATTATACTATAAAAATACCATAGTATAGTAGGTGATAGAGACTTGTTTAGGCTCCTCACCTTGAGTTTTCCCCCGGTGAAGCCAGGCCGCACTGGTGCGCTGCCAAGACTGTGTGGAGCTCTTCTGCTATGACACTCGGTCTGTGACTTTAGGTTGGGTACTGCCCCCAGTCTGTAACAGTTGGATAATATTCAATATATATATATATATATACCGATCTATCTATCTATCTATCTAGCCCTTAATAAGACCCCAAATATAGACTGTTGCAAGGTGGGGGCAGTACCTGAACTTTAGGACTTTAGGAGGCAGGAGCTAGGGAGTTGCGGCCTTCACTAAAGAAGAAGTAGTTTGGCTGGCTGGTCAATCTTTCGGGCCTTGCAGAGCCGTGGGCACCTTGCCAGTGAGTGGTTCTGAGCATTGGATAGATTGAGGCCTCGCACTCTGTGCTTTCGGGCCTGGTCTTCTTGGAAGCTGAGCACTCTTACAATGCACCCTGAACTGGCATAGCAATCATTGGTCTGAGCACAATCGATGAGGGTACCATTGTGGGCTGGACCCGTAGGCTCTCTCTTTGCACTACCCCAACAGTTTGACACACCTTTTTCAAGTGAAAAATCACAGCAATGGCCCAAATGGCCCTGGCCCAGGCCTGCACAGCAGTACAGGGGTGTGTTCTGATAATGACCCTGCGAAGCCACCATTGTTCTGGCTCTCTAGGAACCTTATATTCTGCAACTGTACTTTCCGTGTTTCATGGCAACGATCAAGACAGGTATTGTCAGTATGGCTAGCACCGTATCATTGTGGCCACTGTCCTGCCTACAACCTTTCTGGGAAAAGTGTACCTAAAGTAGCCCTACGCTGGAAACCCATGCAAAGATCCCACGACGGATTCTTAGGCAAAAGTCACCACGATTGCTGCTCCAGGCTCTAGGTAGCTTGTAACATGAAGTCCTGAGCCATAACCGTACTGGTGTTTGTAAGTAGTATCTACTGTAGGCTATGGGGATCCCTCGAGTAACGCTCACCCAATCAAAGAGCTCAAAGCCTTATAAGGACTGCTTCAAGCTGACCCATGCAGCAGGGACGGGATCTGCTACTTTTCAGGGTATCGGGCCTAGGGTTTTAGGGAGGAGTTGAGGGTTTAGGGTTCAGGGATTGATGCCTGCAGAGGTTTTGGATATGAGGGGGTTCAGAGGTTTCAGAGCTGATCGATTTCGGCTGTTGGGGTTTGGGCGATGAGGCGAGCACTTGGCCGGCTTTGTGTTTTCTTGACTTTGCAGGCAATGTCGTCGTTCAGTGCCGCATGTTTGAAATGAGCCATAGTCCAAACTCCTAGTATGCCCTTTAATGGCACCAACAAAATTCCCCTATAATCGCCCCTTCAAGAAGTTTAGACTCTAGCTCACATATAGGTTAACAGATTCCATATGTGTGTCGGATGTGCACACAAGAAAACTTTTTGAATGCAGGTGGCAGTGCGGTTTGACGAGGGTTGGGCCGGTGCTGACCCCGCTGGACCATGTAAAGCTAGCAGGTAGCTCGGAGATATCAAATCTCTAGAGACGCTCAGACCTAACTAGAGCACAGCAGCTAACTACCTAAATTGCAATATGGTGGCACCGCCACACTCTGGACCCGCAGGAAGCGCAAGCGACATTGTGTCGGCCTGCCACAGAGAACTTTCTGCTTCGAGTGCGACATGAGGGAGGCCAGCTTTTTTGGGGGTGTAGCCTGCAAGTAATATTAAGAATACAACTTATAATGACAAAGCACTAACAACAGTAACAAGAACAACAACCAGCAATGATAAGCTGTAATGGGTTAGCATAAGGAAAATGCCATGTTACGTGCGTCACTGTTTCTATGCCGCGTTGCGTTATTCCGGGCATCTAAGAGGTATGGCAATCTCCTGGTCATCAACTCCCTTTGTGAGTAGTCCTTCCCTTTCCCAAAGACCCTTTTTCTGCCCAAGTTGACTCATATGCCCGATGCCAGGCTCCTGTGGCCAATATATCATAATGTGAAGCTATATGCCAGCTACTGTGGAATTCAATCATCTATCCAAAGGCTCCAAGTACAGGAAATGATATCCTTGGTGCCCAACGTCGCGGTAGAATCTTAAAGATGAACGAAGCTATTGGAGCCCCTGGTCTCTAGACTTCGTGGCAGTTGCTGCCCAAAGGGTCCATCTAGCTGTATAGTATGTACTTGGTCTCCAAAGTTGTAAGAGGAACCCCTTTGGGCCCTAAGTATACATACTATATACCTACATGGACCCTTTGGGCAGGGATGCTCCTGCGGCTGCGCTGACATGTCCTTCCGCGAAGATGCAAACTTTGCACGGCACATTCTCAGGCCCATCAGAAGCTAGGTAGGGAAAACAACCCAAAGCTAGGTCATATCGGAAAGCCACTTTGATCTAGTTTATGCATAGTACTAGTGTTTTTGAATATACCTAGATCAGTACGCAGTTGATGATAGCGACATTGCGAAGTCATGTTATGTATCAGGGCTAGGTATATACCAAGATGCGGCGCACCATTAGCACTGAGAGGCACAGGTCTAGGACATGCTGAACACTTGGTCGACTTTCACACTCAACTGCTTTTTCTCTTCTGTACACTAGAGCGTGGGGAGCTGCTCGAGCAGTGCGCTGTTCCTTTAGCATGGCGGCAGATCAGGGAGGACCCAATGCCAATGGCGCCAACGCGCAGCCGGTTTCCAGGGAAAAGATCCTTCATGCTTTGGCTTCGTTGATGGCCAACAAGGATGCTGCATACGTAGCAGGGGTACGCAGCCGTGCTGCGAAGGGGAATTTGCAGATCAAAGGTCAGAGCATCACCGAGGACATCGTGGATGAAGCCCTGACGCGCCTTCCAAAGGCGGAAGAGAAACCCAAGCCGGCAGTGGAGGTCACTCCGGCTGCAACCGGCGCTCGCTGGACACCCTCCTCGGCCTCCATCGCCTCCATTGTCAGCAAGGCCCTCATGGAGTGCGAGGATGCGGAGCAGTACATGGAGCGCATCAAGGTCGTGGGAGAATCCAAGGCGGGGCATGCGCAAAAACGCCTGTCCCCTTAAATATACGTATCTCCTCAAGACGTCTCTGCTAATCCATAAGATGAGGACACCCAAAAATGGAAGCCCAAAAACGTGAAGAATCTAAACTCCTAGTATCCCCCTTAATAACCCCTATAGTAGTCCCCTGTATAATCCCCTATATAACCCCTTTTAAGGAAGCTCCCAGGTGCCAGTGTTACCAAAGCCGGATGTGACCACCACGCCCACTGGGGAATTCCTCTGTGCAGAGGAGTGGGCAGAGACCGTGGCACGGATGGTAACTGGGAACCAAGCATATAATCATATATAATCCCCTCCCCTAATCCCTAAGGGTCCATGTAATTACCCAATAATTACGTACTTGGGATTTGGGTAATAGTAATCATTGTACAGGTTTTCGTTAACTATTTTACTGCTAGGTACTTGGACCCTGAGGGAATATTAACCCCACCCGGAAAAGAAAATACATGGGGAATATTCAATATTAGGCATACATATATCTATGAAGGGGTGAGGATCACAAAAGTGTGGTCTCTTTACACAGACTCCTACAAGTGGCAGTGCGTCTTTGTCAGAAGTGCCAGTGTGTCATGTATACGCTTGCAGATTGCTTTGAGCAGCCCAAGAGAGTAATCGGTGTTAGCAGCAAGTCTGGGTCTGCTTGCTGATTGCAGGGCTTAGGACTTACGGTTTACTTAAGGGTTTAGGCTTAGGATTTGGGGTTCAGGGCTTTGGTTTGAGGACTTACGGTTCAGGGTTTGTAAGTCTGGCTTTGCATCCCACAGGCGGTCCATGCAGCTTTAGAGTATATACTTGGGCCCCAATGCAGGAACCCCTTGAAGTACGTACTATATACATATGGTCGTTTGAGACCCCAAAATTGGTGGAATCCCTCTTATAGGGATGGCCAAACAGGCACCCCTGTGTTTCAGGAAACTTCCACGTACCTACGTGGACTCTCTGGGCTTGCTGATTCAGGATTGTGTTTATTCATTCCTCCACATGCTACTTCCATCCGCCAAGTGGCATCACGGAGGTCCTGGCAAACTCGGTACAAACTATGCATCCATGTGAATCCAGAAGTTCTGAGCTTCATGAAGCCTCGCACGGCCCCTGAACTATCCACTATTCACAGGCTATTCCCACCCAGAAGGACACATCTCATGTTGACGTGCCTTGTGCCCGGACGATATAGGAGGGCGATGAAATCCTAATGTCATTCTCTCATAACTCTAGAGGTGCTCCCCAAAAGCCCTAGCATTGTTTGGGCAGTATAACCTACAAACCACCAAGCCCGTACTTAGCTAGTGGTACGTGTGTATGAGGTGAATCGGAAGGATGGCCGTGTGTACGTGCGCCTGCAGAACTACAGCGGCTGGGTATCCTCAAGGTCCCGGAATGACTACAACAAGGTGGGAAGGAGTTTGGGTTTAGAGTTTGGGGTTTAAGGGTTTAGGGTTTAGGTTTAGGTTTTCAGGCTTCGTGTCTGTGTCCAGGAAGGGAAAAGTTTCACCTAAGCCTCCTGATTAATTTGGGGGCTTACATAAGCAAAGGACACCTGAATAAACGCCAGCATATCAAAATCCTTCTTAGGAATCGCTCAAAAAGCCGCCCCAAATGTTCGGAAGCCTCTATGTAACAATGAGAACGAACGTACCTAGAAGGAGGAAATCCGATGCCTTGGGAAGGGATCTACAACATATGGCAGGCTGTGAGAAATCATGATCCCCTTCGCGGGGTTCTCATTAGAACGCGTCTTAATATGTGTGTGTATATGGTAGTTTCCCAAAATCAGGGGACTCCAATATAGACCCCAATATACTATAGTCCTTATTATAGGGACCCCCAAAAAAGGTACCCATGATTTTGGGAAGCCCCCATATGGGTTACCTTGTCAAGCTTCCCTATCTGGTAGGGTATGAGGGCTGCAGGAGCTCGAAGAAGTTTCAGGTTGATTAAACTTTCTTATTGGGAACCCGAAACCCCAGCATCTTGGTTTAGGATGTAGGGTTTAGAGGCTTAGGGAGTTGAGCGTTTAAGTTTTAGGGGTCTAGAGTTTGGGTGTTTGGGGTTTAGGGGGGCCCTATAAACCTTTCGTTTCGTGGCCCAAGGGAGATTCTTAACCCTAAACCCTATGATTCGGTTAAGGGATACAAGACAGCTTTTTGGGGAAGCCGATCCATTGTGGGTCCGGCTCCAGGCCTTCCAGCTAAAATCTCTGAAATCCAAATCATGCTGGATGATTAGCTCCATTATTGTTATGAACAATTAGCAGAACTACCATTTTGTTGATATTTTGCATTGTTAAATTAGATATAATCTGCATATGCCTGTTGTACTACTGTGAAGATTCATTTGAAGAAGCTTTATTTGTAACGACTCAACAACTGCCCGTGACCCTCCAATCAGCCCACCCCTACACTAGACATTTAAATTAGGCCGTTCTCCTTAAACCCTGAACCCCCGAAACCCTATACCCACAACTCCGATCCCTCAAACCCTAAACCCTAATCCCCCAAACCCTTAACCCTTAACCCTAAACTCCGAACCTCTAATCCCCCAAAGCCAGCAGCCCTAAATGAACCCTTATAATACTCCCTAATCTAATCCCCCCTTTCAGGAGATTAAACCCGAAGCCTTTAAACCCTTAGCCTTGAGCCCGAAAGCCGTAAACCCTTAAACCCTAAACCCTTAAACCCCAAACCCTAAATGGCCAGGTCGTCCTGGACGTGGAGGAAGGAAGACCTTCCCTGGAGCCAGGTAGCGCCCAAGTCATCGCCACAAGCAGGGCCATGCGCCTGTTGCCACACATGAGCCTAGGATAGAATTTGTGAATTACATTCTGGGGTTGTCGGTTTAGGGTTTAAGGTTGCGGGTGCAGGGTTTAGGGTTGTGGTGCATGCACCACAACCCCCAGTCCCAAAAGTGCCATGAAGTCCAGCACGCTAGGTTCCTTAAGAATCCTAAGATTTGCCGAGAACTTCCCAATCTCGAGCAGGAGCTCCCATTGAACTTCATGTTTTTTACTATGTGTGGCTGTCTTGGGATGGCTGTATGCTCCCCGAAATGGGCATCAAGGGTTCGAGGTTTGGAGACATGGTAATGGAGAGCCGCTGACGACATGAGCTTTTCAAGGGGTTCCACATAGCTTCCTAAAGAATTGGGGCCGTATACGTATTATGAGCCTTCGCTAAGAAGCCGTGTACATACAAGAGCAATATAGTTCAACAGCGGGCATCGAATGTGTAGTGTAGTCTGAGGGCTCTTTTAAGCTCCATGTTCATGTTGTGTAAACGATGTAAACCCTCCCTACTGCTCAGCTTTCTCTGAACCCAAATCTCTACTCCCTTAAGCCCTGAGCCGCAAAGTGGTCCGTTGTTGTGAATCCTTGTGACAAGCATAATGAACTTTGGAGTATGTATGCGCGTTTGTATAGAGGAGTGCTCCCAGACCATCCCACTGATCTTGCTCATGTGTTTGTGTGGGGAACACGGGTTGTAGTATACTGGCTCTATATTGGGGGTCCCTCTACTCAGGATTATAGTATCCTGGTTCTTTATTCGTGGGTCCCACGAATAAGGATGATCGTGCATTGGCTCTGTATTGGGGTCCCCTCATTTATAGAAGCCAGCATATACCTGAACAATCTTCCCAAAGTTAGGGGCACCATTTTGTGGGCCCCTATAATGAGGATTATATTATTCTGGGGTCCCTAAGCTATAAACCCTAAACCCTAAACCCTGGTCTATACCTCCCCCATTTATGGATACTGCCATGATGGGGATTTAGAATTGGGGACATTGATTAGGTACAAAACCTCGCGGCCAGCGAGCCTGACCATGTTCGCCCTCGTGAAAGATCTTGCAAGTATCCTACAAGGGTCCAAGGACCCAAACAATGGGGCGTCCGGTCCCACATACCATTAACATTAATGGTATTTGGGCCCTAGAGCCCCATTGTATGAGTCCGGAATGGTCCGGATATGGTGGAAGCTTACCCCTCTCTATGGGGTCCTGTATGGAATACAAAATGAGCCTGCAATTACACAAGATGCAGGAGTTTCTCAAAGTAGTCGTCTCTAACCTTCGCCAGCAATTCCTATCTCTGTATAAAAACTGAATACCATTTGAGTCGGTAGGGTCTTACTTTCGTCTCAAGAGCAGCCAGGACACAGGACGGCTACCAGACCTCCAACACCAGCGGCACAAAGGTCCGCCGCTTCCGGACAACGGTGATGGCGCCGAAGCTCGTTCAAATTTGTTATACGAATACCGGTAGTTGCCTGGCTTGCTGTTAAGGTTCTTTAACTATGTCACTAGTACAAAGAAACCCTATAATTTACTATACACGCATCTCCCTGTAAATTAGCTTGAGTTCCTTGACAGCAACCAGTTGGGGGTACATAGGGCAATGCCAACGGCTGTAGGTAGGAGTCCACTGTGGGCTAGCAAGTCGTACTAACCTTGAACTATTTCGAATATGTTGAACACGTCTTTAGCAGGGTTCTACAAGAAGGGTGCCGTTTTAAGTGACATTGTTTCTTGGTGTAGAGGGCGGGGCATCCTGTGAGAGAGAGACTACCTAAAAACACATGTTTATGTGCAAAGGGCCCACCAACTTGACATATTCAGCTGCTCACCTGCCCTAAACCTAAACCCTAAACCTAAATCCTAAACCCTATAAACTCTACACCCTAAACCTAAATCCTAAACCCCTGCCAAGATAGTCAGTTAGTCTTTGCCTTCCTGCGCCTGGGGGGTAGTTGGGCATCTCCGAGCCGACGAACAGTCGAGGCAAGCACCACTATAATTCACCTGGGGTTAAGGGTTTAGGGTTTAGGGTTTAGGATTTATAGGCTTTAGTGTTTAGGGGCTCCCAGTTACCTAAATGGTAGCTTACTGGGCTATGTAACTATAGGGTATATGGAACCCAGTTCTCATTATTTGCGTAACTGGGAGCCCAAGGGTCACAATAGTAGAATGTTCGGGCGGCCGCGCGCCTCCGCAGCCCGCGGACTGCGGTTTAGGGTTTAGGATTTTTAGGTTTTATGGTTCCCAACGCCTGTTGCAAGAGACCCTTTCCAGCAACAATCCCTTGAACATCAAGATGCTTTAGCATGGGTCAGAGAGAACTTGGGGAAAACGCCCTAACCGCTAGTTTCGAACAAAGACGGGCCTTTCCAGTATTCTAGCGCATGCTTGTCATTTCTTTCGTGGAAAGCTTCCCACTCCCCAATCCACTCCTCCCTTGTTGCTGTTATTAGCAGCAGTGCCACTTTTTCATTTGTTTATTCGGTAGTCATGATTTTGACAACCCATTCCTGCAACTGCGATTGTTCTGCTGAAGCTCAGCACCCAAAGCCCAAGCTCCCAAGAGCGAACCTCATTCTTCGTTCCTCCAAACATTTCCCGCGACGTGCTCCGCGATAGGGGGCCGCACATAACTCCTTTGCAGGGCCACCCCCCTTTGAGACATCTCCCTTTCACTCAGGATTCTACAGTCTGCAGATTGCCAACGCCTCAGAATGCCTTCAGGATGATGGTTTAGAGTTTAGGGCACTGCACTTACCCTCTCCATGAAACTAGTATGCGGCCCCAAGAAGGTTTTGATAAAGGGCAGTGGTCTCGAGAGTGCCCTTTGTGGTGTATTGTCTGAGTTTGGTGGATGGTAATCAAGTTGCGCCTCCTTTCTCGGAAGTTTACCCTCTGAGGATATACAAGGCAAGCAGGGTTTTGGTACTATGCTGATGGTCTTTTGGAAAGGCTTCAAAATCAGAAGCCCTAATCAACGGAGTTGAGTCTAGAGACCTGTCCATAGGGAACCAGACTTTGGCGCATGCCTTTTTTGGCTAGCTTATTTTATCTTAGTAATTAGGATATCTGGGGAAGTGCTGACTGACACAATGCATGGATGCAACACGACTGCGGATTCAATTGCAGACTTGAATCAGTGTTAAAATCATTCCCTTCTGGGTCTGAGTAAACTGTGGAATGGTATGAGGAGCCTGCTCAACAGGGACTCGCCTTCAAACCAAAGCCCAAAGCAGACACACCTGCGCCCTAGCCCAAGCTCAAATGGAACTTCAAAGACTCGCTAGTTGTTAGTAGGCAATAAGGAATGAATTCCTATAGAGCCCGTATAGAACCCCTCAAAATACAGTAATTTCCATTGCCTTGATTTCTTCATTCCATGTTCACAAACAACAAGAGGAGGGCCCTTCGAAGGTGCAGTCGGTGGGGTCCCGTGTTAGTCTGTGAAAGGTAAGTCCTCCTAAAAACATAAATGCAGAACCCTAAAGCCCTGAAATCCTATGCCTTATGCCAAGTGCGCTTTCATGTTTCTTAGCCATGTAGAAAATGATGGGTGTTTGGCCCAGACCAGGAGCCCCCTTCACTATGGCAGGAGAACTAGAATCTTAAACTTTGCGTTCGGCAAGTGGGCGCTCGTGAAGTCGTAGAAGAAGATAAATTTACACGTGCACACACGCACACACACCTGTATGGGCTTCATCAAGTTCCCACAAAGACCAAGATCCACAAAATGCCAAGAAAGCTCACCCGAGCCTAGGCGACATATGTAAAACACCTTGTGACAATGTCTCAAGACAATTCCTATACAATTCCGCAGGGGCCTCATAAATTTCTCATCCATCCGGTGCGAGGTTGACTAATTGACAACGCTCCGGAATCTCAGCTGTCAGAGACTCCCAACACCTCCTTTGCATTGCTGAGATTTTAAAGCCAACCCTAAACCCTAAACCCTTACCCTAAACCCTAAACCCTAAACCCTTACCCTAAACCCTAAACCCTTACCCTAAACCCTAAACCCTAAACTGTGGCTTTTGCAGGGGTTTCCGAAGGCCCGCAGGTGCCCAAAAAGTGATTCTCTACGCCACACACACAGACCCCCTAAGCGTGCTGATATGAGCCATACTCTAAACTCCTTCAAGGGGGATTATATAGGGGGCTACTTTAGGGAATATTAAGGGGGTTACTAGGAGTTTAGACTATGGCTCATATGATGTCGGAAGGTCATGGGGGTCTGTATAAATGGGAGATGCTGGGCCCCCCTTTGGCCCCGTCGTGTCAGTGGCATGGGCAATCATCACGATGGCCTTTGGAAAGCACAGTCAGTCCCAAAACCCAACATCTGAGACACCAAAATCTATGCTCTGAACCCTATACACCCCAAACTCTAGACCCGAAACCCCCGTCCCCAAGCTCTGAGCCCTAAAGTAAGCCCATCACCCAAGACCCAAACCCTAAATGCCAAACCCTTCTCTGGGGGGGCTGTGTTTCCTGGGTTCAGATGAGAGGTGGTTCCACAAACGTTGCCAAGCTACAGGCCAAGGAGGATTCCATGCTGGGGTTCAGGGGTAAGTGTATGGGTTGAAGTACTTTACTGAGAAGGAACTTGGGGGCTTAGAGTTGATCCTAGTTGTACTTGAACCCGCAGGGTGATCGTCCAGGGTTTAGGATTCAGGGTTCAGGGCTTAGGGTTCAGGATTCGGGAATTTACGGGGGTTTCAGCATCTTAGGCTTAATGCCATAGGCTCCAAAATGTTCTCTTCGTTTCAGCCACCTATTGGTATAATCCCTTCATCATCCCCAGATGGCATGCAAACTATCATCATGTACTCCTAGAAACCTTCAAGCAAGTGTGCCTGGGGCCTTCAAATCTGTGTTTCCCGAGCTGGAGAACCAGGGGCCTGCTGCGAGGTTCATTGGCCATGTAAAAATTTCAGATTTTTGGATTTAGGTTTTGGGATTTAAGGTTTGGGAAAGAACTCAGGGCTTGGAATTTACAGTTGAGGGCAGGGATCAAAAGCAATGCAGACCCCTGAACAATTTGTGGTGGGTTCAGGCTCAAATTTGGGGCTGAGATATTAGGATGGGCTTCAGGAGTAGGAGCTTGCACTATGCTAGTTGGTACTATTTCCCAGTTGTGTTTGCAAATATCACGCAAGGATTCCACTTGAATTGATTTGCCTCGTTGAAGGATTATAGGCAACAAATGCCTCTTTCGGAGTTCCCGTGTTGGGGATCCTGCATTTGGACCTTTCTAGCCCGGTTCCCCACATATAGGCTTCATTCTACACAAGAAGCAATCACTGCAGAACCCCTTTCGGCCTTCCATTCAAGGCATCAGGTTTACGATTCGAGTTTAAGGTTTAGGCATCACTTTTTGTAAGCAAAGCTGCGAGGAGTTTCTGGCCGATGGTGCTTACCTCCGCACGGCAGATGGCAGGGCTTATTTACATCTGAAGGAGTGTAAAGGGTCGGGGATCTATAGGGTTATGGCTAGGAAACCACATCCAAATGATAATCACCTATGTTCGCCAGCTCTTATTGTTGTGGTGATTATCGCTATTATTGTTATTGAGAGCTTCATTTTCAACACCACGTAACGTTTCGTAATTCATATACCTACTTAGATGTCGGGCTTACTTTGTCGGACCTTGAGGGGCGATGTAGAGGACCACTACAACAAGAATTACCCTAAGGCCGCCGCGGGGTCATGAAGGTAAGATGGCATGTTGGCTAATGCCAGGGTGCCTTAAAGTACAGGGAACAGGGACTAAACGTTGCTTACGGGAGAGGGTCTAGGTCTTCTAGGGACTACAGGGTTTAGGGTTTATAGGGACTATGTGATCTGGGGTTGAGCTCGACAGCAAAAGCCTGCAGCATAGGGTTGATAATGGAGTGGGGGTTCAAGGGTTTGGGGATTTGGGATGCAGGGTAAAGACGTGCTGGGACTGAGAGTTTGAGGTTTACAGGGTTAGAGTCAACTAGCCACTTGAAACGCCAAAGCTACCCAGACCCCCTAAAGCATCCAAAAAATGGAACCTCCTGATAATCCCATAGTTTCCGCAATGTAGTAATGGGTTCATATTGAGGGGCCGGGGTTCCATTTTTTGGATCCTTTAGGGGGTCTGGGTCTGTACCCTACGAGGACGGCAAAGGATGGATCTGCGAGCGCACTAAAGCAGACTTCTCGAAGCTTGCCATTGAGCACCTTGGATGTGCGGTTTAGGGGTCTAGGGTAGGGGTTTAGGGTTTAGGGTTAGCTTCGAGTAAGGTAGACGGGTTTTGTAGGTAATGAGCAGATGAACTTGAAGGAGATTGCTCAGGTGTATGATCTGGTAGTTTCCACAAATAAGGGGACCCCAGTATAGACCCAAAAATCTTATAATCCTTATTATAGGGACCCCCAAAAGTGCCCCCTAATTTTGGG